AACACCTTCCAGGAATCTCATATTCCACACACTCGATCTGCACCTTCCCCTCAGTAATGGAGCTTTCACTTTAATGATCTGGACTCTGTGAGAGAGAAATCAGTGTCCTTGGCAGTGTCCCACATAGCTAAGGAAACCAAGCATTCACTCATTGGCTTTCCCTTTACCCCATGGGAGAAACCATGAGCCATCTAGTTTAGCCCTAAGGAGTGCAGGGTGGAATGATGCCAGTAAAGTCAAATTGTTCTTTTTACCTTCTTTAGTGCATCCAAACTCTTTTTGTTTTGTTTTACTCCAACCAAATGTTGGAAATCCTCCTCCGGAAACCTGGATTTTCACAAGGCTCTCTTGGCTGTAGGTGACTCCCCAAGTCAGTGTTTTGCAGGTGTTCTCAGACCACAGCTGAGAGAGGGTAGAACACTCCCAATCTCCTGTAGGACACTCCCAAACCTGTACCAAAGCTTAGCTACCTATTATCCGATACACCTGTGATTGAGGCTCCTCCCAGATCCCTTGGAGTATGGTGCAGGGTCCCACAACTCCATCAGAGGCACTTTTGTTCATGGATATATGCCTCATTTTTGTTGTTGGGGTGGGAGAATAAAATGAGGGACATCTTATGCTGCCGTGATGCTGACATCACTCTGTCTCTTGGTTGAAGTTTGTGGGAATTATATTTTCTGAGCATATTCAAGCGCCTTTCTGTTGCCTTTGAACTTCAGTTTTTAGTTTGTCTAGCTTTAAAATTCTTTTCTCAAATGTTATTTCTTGGAAACTTCATAGACATTGGCTCCACAACTAGCATTTTATATAGCTGTTTAAATTTCTGAGGTTACTTCCCAGATTCTTTGTGTATCTCTAAAGTCATTTACCTTTTCATCTTTTTAGTTCTATACTAGGTTCTCTGGAACTGTGCTGTCTATTCAATCTGTGAATTCAGTTCTTTTGTTTCTGGAATGTTTCTTCAAATTTTACCTTTAAATGTGTTTTTTTTTTCAGTTCCATTATTTTTGTTTTCTTACAGAGATTTTAGAGCTCCTTTGTCTTCCATATGTGTTGTCTTTCATCCTTTCCAACTGTACATTTCAATTGATTGCTTTTATTTATTGTTTTGTCCATGGTCACTTGCATGTTTGTTAGCAGTGTCATTTTTTGTTTATGTAGGTTCCAATGTGGCCTTCATTTCTCTGTTTGTTTTATTTTTTCTTCCCTTTTTTTTCTGAACTTTACTTTTTTTAATCAACTTCTCTTACCATGTTTTTTCTAAACTCTGATATCACTGCATTAAGCTCTTTACTTACTTTGTTAACAATCATTTGAAATCATGGCTAGGTTGTTAATTACTCCCAGTTTTTATTTAATTGTTGGCAACATTGTTTTGCTTTGTTTTTTAAAATATTTGTTTTTCCTTGTGGCAGCTTGTTATAGATCCTGTGTTCATTCCTTCTTTTTAAATGACATGAGTTTTCTTATACCAACTATTTGCAGGAGGTTCCTGTGGGAGAGGAGCCAGGGTAGTATTAGAGGCTAGCAGGAATTGAACTTGTATGTGAATAGTTTTACTTTTTACTTCTTTTCATCAAATAAAGATTGGCACCTTTGGGCTATTTATAACTAAGAGTTTCTACCTTCTATCCTGTCTCACTGTTGAATTGCTTCTCACCATGATGTTCTATTGCTGTGTTACTATTATCATCTTATTTTCCCTGACACTCCCTCGTCATAAAGAACAGAGTCTAGCCCCTGCCTAATTCTGTCAGCCTATGGTCTCTGTTGTGTTGTATCAAATAAGAGGTTGCTGTTTTTGCCTTCAGGGTGATTACATGCTCTGAAGAACTGTGCTTTACCAGCTTTCATTGAGATCTTCAGCTGTGACATCATTTTTTCAGTATTTCACATACTTCTGATTTGACCTTGAGTATTCTTTGTCATCCTTTCTAATGGGTTTAGGAGTTACAGATATCTACTTGTTTCGTTGGAAATGAAATTTGCATTGTTATTCATTTTTTGTAGTTGTTTGGAATGATTTCTGAGAAGCAAAGGAAACAAAGATATCGTCACACCTCAAAATAACACAAGAGAATATTTTAAATAAAAGGGTATGATTGAAAGTCAGGTGGCTTAGAATAAAAGTGGGATTACTAGTGAGAAAATTGAGACACTGTTTATGTGCTATGCATGTGACAGCCTATCTATGGGATATTAGTATAGAAGTAAAGAGATAGGGAAGAGTTGAAGCCTAATTGGCATGAATTATTTTTCAAGTTAGGACTGAGTGTGTTTAAAATCCTGTAGAACCGAGACATTGAATATATGGAAGCCCGGGGGAAAGGGATGAGAACCTAGGGATATGGAAGTAATGCAATCAGGGACATTAGTGTACAAAATCTCAGAGAAGGAAGATTGCCTCAGCCCCAGAATTACCTCACTTATATAACAGTTGTGCTCAGCATTATTTAAACCACTCACAAATAGATAGTATCTCCATAAAGTTATTTCTAAGTAAAACAAAGATATTGTGATACTTGGTTTATTTTAAAGTAAATGTGTGTTTTATGGAATTAATATTTGCCTATTAGCATGTAAACTATAAAATAAAGGCTATAGGTATACAACTATAGGTAAGTAATGTAGTTTCTCTGAAAGAGGATTCCTGTTTTATGATCAAGGAATCCTTTTTATTTATTTTATGGTTCTCTCTGTTTATTTCAACACATTGAAATATGGCCCTGCTTATTTTAGATTTATTAGAGAAACGTGGTTTATGCACTTTATCTGCCTGAGTCCTTTGTCTTACCCAGATCTCTTTTTAATGTTTTTATTCTCATCCTTGGCAGTGGCTTGAACCTGGCATCTGTAGCACGACTCAAAGGTACTTGGGAAAAGTTACCAAGCAAGTATGAGAAACACCTGCAAGATCTGCAAGACCTTTTTGATCCATCTAGAAACATGGCCAAGTATAGAAATATTCTTAGTAGTCAAAGCATGCAGCCTCCTATTATTCCACTCTTCCCCGTTGTCAAGAAAGATATGACATTTCTACATGAAGGTATTTAAAAGTTATTTGAAAGCTAGCATGTTTAACTTCAGCTAATTTTAGAGAATTGTGATTTATTATATCAAATACTAGGGGCCCAGTGCACAAATTCATGCACCTTGAAAGGAACTGTGGGCTGTGAGGCTGTGGTAGGCACAGGGGCAGATCTTGGCCCATCCTCTGCGCCCCCACCTGGCCCCTCCCACCACGGCCCCCAGTCCCCTGTCTTCCAGGTCCCCTGTCTGCCAGCAGCTCTGCTCCTGCCACCGCCATCCTACGTGGTGACAGCATGGAGCGATTGGGGCCGGCACCAGCAGTGGGTGCAAGCAGTAGCTGCTGCCCCAATTGCCCCTCAGGAGCAGGGGGAGGTGGAGAAGCCCTCAGGGGCAAAAAGGGCCAGCAGCCATCACTTGCACCTTCTGGTGGCACCAAATGATGGGAACTGGCACCGGGCACTGGCTGCAGGGCAAGTGGGGCAGGCGCTGTCAGTGGGTGTGAGCGGCGGCTCTGGTGCCAGCAGTGGGTGTGAGCGGGGCTGGCACCGGCAGCAGGTACAAGTGCTGAGAAGGACAGCGATCAGCGCCCCGCCTTGGTCTGGAACCCCTGCTCACCTGCTCCACCATCCCGCCACAGCCAACTTCCGGCATGTTCCGCACACGCCCCCTGGTGGTGGTCAGTGCATGTCATAGAGACCAGTTCAGTTGTTCCCCGTTTGGTCTATTTTCATATTAGCCTTTTATTATATAGGATATCTTTTCAGCATAATATATATCACTAAAGTTTACCCAGTTAAATGCAGCAAATTTTAGGAATCCAAAACCCACATCATTGAAAAGAACAAATTTAGATATCTAACCTCTTCATTTAAACATAAACTTCACTTACACCAAAATCAGACATTTGAAATTTTTTGTTTTGTTTAGTAAAATATTTTAAACTTTTTTTTAATGACTCACCACAAACAGAAAAGTACCCAAAACAAGTGAATACGTTTACAGAAACACCATGTAACCAACATCCAGGCTAAAAATAAAAACATTGCCAGCCTCCCAGGAGCCCCATACGTGCCCCTCCCCAATTACCATCCTCATCCCCTTCCCCAAAGATCACTACTCTTCTGACTTTGAATATTGTGGTGTAGTTTTACTTGTTCTTGAACTCTCTATAAAATAGAACCATGGGGTATGTTTGTCTTATTATGTTTTGGTTTGATTTGTTTTTTGGCTCAAATTGGTCAACATTACAGATTTAGGAGATCTTTACATGTTTTTTAGTGTGTTTATACTTCATTTTCAAAACTATTTAGTATTCCCTTACATGAATGCAATATAGTGGATTTATCCATTTTGTTGATGAGCATCTGATGGTTCCCACTGTTCACCTGTTATGATTAATTTTGCTATTTTTGCACATATCCTTGCATATATATCTCTCAGCATGCATTTTTGTTTGATATAAGTTGTGTGGGATTTATGAGTCCTGATATTTGTATAACCAACTATAGAAAACATTTTGACATTATCTAGTCAAGTGGAACACTGCCAATGTTGTTAGAGCTCTCATTGTTCCTCATCCTTACCACACATGGTAAATTTATTTTTGTTTTTTACCTATTCCAACAGTAGTGTGGTTTAATTTGCATGTTCCTTATTATAATGAGGAAGAGCACCGTTTTATATATTTATTTGTCCTCTTGTCAATTGTCAATTTGGGTTTCTTGCCAATTTTTTATTAGGTAGTCAGCTGTTAAATAAAATGTTTAAGAATTTTTTTTATAAACCCTGGGTATGAAACAAATTGTCTTAAGGTTTCTTTTGGTGAACAGCAAGTTCCTAGTTTTAAAAGCCTGATTTGTTTATCTTTTACCATATGTTTCATCCAAAGTCTTCCTGAATTGTTGTGGGGGGGTTTTGTGGGTTATTTTGTTTGTTTTATTTTGTTTTGGTTGGGTTTGGGGGTTTTATTTGCATGGTATTTGCCCTACTCCATAAACTAGCTAACTATACACTATTTCAGCAATTTTCAACCAGTGTGATGCAAAATTTTTAAAACATGCAATACCTGACCTCTTTTCCCTTAGATTGTCATATTTAAAAAATGATAAAAGCCAATAATAGCTTTCTGGTATGAATATATCAAAATTATACCTTTTTTTCAGGTCAGCAAAAATATATATTTTGGTATGTCTACAGAATTTTAGTAATTAGTTTATGTGAGTCGTGAGATGGAAAAGTTTGAAAATCAGTGCCCTATTTTACTGGTGTTACACTAGACATAGTATTTCTACTTACTGATATTAGTGAGTTTAATATTAATTAGTACTTTTCTGTGTGTCAGGCAATACAAAGAACTTAGACCATTTAAATTTTATTTACTCACCTCTAAATTATATGCATTTGTTGCCATGCCCTTAAGTCCTACATGATACTATCATTGTTTAGTAAAGTCAGTATTTTTTAGCTTTACCCGTACAGTGATGATGTGTTACTATTTTTCATTTTTTTATGCATTTCAAAGCTTCCATATTGATGGGGGATTTTTTCCCCCTATAGAAAGCTGTTTATTATTCCCTTAAGTGCAAGTCTGATGGTGATGAAATATCTTAGTTTTTGTTTATCTGAAAATATATTTACTTCATATTCATACTTAAGGCATAATTTTGGTGAGATAACATTCCGTCTTCTGGCTCCCATTGTTAATGTTAAGAAGTCAATTGTCAGTCTTACTTGCTGTTTCTTTGACTGTATTCTGCTCTTTTGCCCATATAGTGTTCTTCTTTATAGTGTTCTTCTCTACTTTTGCTATAATGTGATTAGGTGTGGGATTTTGGTTTTGTTTTAATTCTGACTTGTTTATAAAAGATCCTGAAACCTGCATTTTGATATTTTTTATCAGTTTTGAAAAATCCTCTCATTCTGTCTTCAAGTTTTTTATTGTCCTCCTGAGTTTTCTTTTAGGGATTTTTATTTCACTTCTTTTAGACCTGGTTACTGCCCCTATTATCTCATATACTGTTTTACGTATTTCTCATCTTTCTGTCTCACCATGCTTTATTCTGAATATTTTCTTCCAACCTGTTCAGTTAATTAATACTCTTTTTAGCTATGTCTAATTTATTGTTAAATTTATCAGTGAGTTCCTAATTACTCTGTGTGTGTTTTTCCAGTTTTACAGTGTACAAATTGTTTATTTTTTCATCTTCTTGGTCTCTGCCAGAGTTCTCAGTGTTGTTGTTTTTATATCTTTACACATATTCAATATAGTTATTTTAAGTCTATCACTATTAACTCCATAATCTGGATCCTTTGTGGGTCCCTTTCTGTTGTCCTTTTTATTTTAATTATGTTATCTTTTGTCCTGATGACCGTGGTTATTTTTGACCAAATAAATGTTGTGTATTAAAAAATTACAGAAATAATCTGGTTTCAGATGATGTTTCATTCCTCCAGAGAGAATTGATACCTTGCTTCTGCCAGGCAGCTAGGGGGTCTAGCTATGCAAAATTACTTCATTTTCACATTTTGAGATAGTTTAACATTGAACTTTTACTCCAGTCTACATTCAGTTCATTCTTAGTCCCCAGGATATAGCCCTTCAGGATCTCAGCCCAAAGCATTGGAGGCTTACCTGGACTTGTTATTTCCTCCAGCCTCAACAGACAGGGTGGCACTCCTCAGTTTTGCAGCTCAGCATCCCCTTTACTGAAATCAGCAGATGGGAAATGCTAAACCTGCCCAGATCTCCATTCATTCAGAGCTTCACTGCCTGAACATCTTTTGATGCCTTAAAACATTTATTTTCAGCTTTTGTCCAAATTTTCTAATATTTCTCAGCAAAAGTGTTGTTCAGACTACCTAATTTTACTGCCCCCCCCCCTTTCATTATCACTCCTTTTTCATAAGATCTTTTGATGCTTTGACATGCTCCCTCAAAATATATTTAGGTGACTTGGAAGCACTTTTGGAGATTATTTTGTTTCCAACTCATGTTGAAACCCTGAACAATGTGTATGTCCAATGTATAGGTGCTGTTTACTATGAGACGGGGCCACTTCCAGACCTATATGGTTCTCAAACTTGTCTTCACGGACAGTGGCACCTCAAGGGCTGCCATGGGAGATAAGTGGGGTTATGCTAACTGTTAAAGACAGGTGTGAGCCCTAGCTGGTTTGGCTCAGTGGATAGAACGTTGGCCTGCGGACTAAGGGGTCCCAGGTCCAATTCTGGTCAAGGGCACATGCCCGGGTTGCAGGCTTGATCCCCAGTGGGGGGTGATCTCTCTCTTCCTCTTCCTTCCTCTCTGAAATCAATAAAAATACATTTAAAAATAAGAAAAGACAAGTGTGGGGAAAAAAACAACAACACTGCTGTAGACAGATTGCTCTTTAAACATACTTTTTGCCTTGTGGTTTGAACTGGGCGAGCCAACAAATGAGCTTTAGTCTGGTCTTCTACCTACTCTTTTCAAAGAAAAGTAAACCATTTTGAAAGTTATGTGAATTATTCTCGAAGAACTACTTAACAGTATAGAAACAAAAATTATGAAGCTTATAAATGAGCAAATTTGTATTAAATGATTAAAGTCATGATTGTAAATTCGAGTTCTGGGAGAGGCAAAATGAATGGCAGACTAAAAAATGTTTATCCTTGTGAGCCAGCCACCTCTTAATTTTAACTAATTATTGCCATTTGGGAAAACAGACCTACTATTATTTAATCTCTCATCTAATCCTTTCCCTTTTTATCTTCAAGAGAAGGCAGAAATTCTTGTTTTCATGGGATATCTTCTTAAATGTTAACTCATTTAACAGTTTTCCAAGTATTGTAAACCAGAGAAAACTCTCTGGGTTAATTAAGCCCAAAGCTCATTCTTTGTGACCTCTAGTTAAAAAGTTCCCTGCCCAAAAGAGAAAATGGTGGTACCTGCCTGAGAGTGGTCTGAGCAACTGGAGAGTTCGATTTGAGGAGCTGCTCATTTTACTAGTGTGCCTATAACATAATGGAATTGGTTTTAGAAGCTATGCTGTTGTCACTTCATAATTGTTTCTCTCCCTAGAAATACAATTCCTCCCTATAGCTCATTCCCTGGGAGCAGGGTTGAACCATCTATGGTTTATCAATTTTAAAAAATAAGAGTGACAGTTTGAGAAAGAAAGTTATTCATACCCCCAAGAATTATAAATTGGCTTCTGCTACCTTTATATAGATACTTTAATTTTGAAAATTATAAACTTTTACTTTTATTCCATAGGAAATGACTCCAAAGTAGATGGTTTAGTAAATTTTGAGAAGCTAAGAATGATTGCCAAGGAAATCCGTCAAGTTGTTAGGATGACTTCTGCTAACATGGACCCAGCTATGATGTTCCGACAGAGGTATGGTAGTGAAGTGTGTAAAGTGTTATAGAGTGGCATCAAAAGTGATATATTCAAAATAATAATATGTCATTTTTTGACCATTTACCACTGTTATATGCTGTACAAGGTGCTTTATACAATCTCAAAGTAATCATTTATCACAGCAACCTTTAAAGGTAGGTAATATTGACCTTCCTTTTACATATGAAGAAACTGAAGTTAAGAGAGTTAGGTAAAAATGCCCAGGATTACATAATTTTCTGAGATTTGAACCCTAGTTCTGCATTACATTTTTAAGCACATGGATAGTTCTGTATTGTTATTGTTACCTAAAATATTAGCTAACTTAATTATAAGTTGCTGATTTTTACTGAAGTTACCACAAAGGACAAATGCTTTCATCTGATTTCTAACCTAATTTGTAAAATATTAATGTGCATATGTCTTTTATTTTTACTGAATATTTTTTAGTTCTAGTTCCAGCTAAGTCATACTTTATTCTTCTAAAATAACATTGTTTTTCTCAAGTCATGGTATTCCTTTTTATTTATGTGTAAGTTCTTTAAACAGAATTTAGAAAATGCAGACTTAAACATGTTCCTTCTTTAATAAAAATGGAAAATATTATTTTAGTAGTAGTAGTTGTCCATATTAAACTTATCTTCTAAAAATGCCTTGTAAAACTGATTTTTAATGTAACAACAAAGACTTCCTCAAATTCTATGGAACTTAAACATAAAGTATGTTGTTAAGCTATTCCCAGTAATTTTTATAATTTTCAGAATAAACAGTAGAGGTTTAATTTTTGACCTAATTTTCCTCTGGGCCTATGTGTATGGGTAGCTTCAGTACATAATGAGCTTTAGAAAGGAAATATTTACAGAGGCAGACACAGTTCCTTTGACTTAATAAATACAGTTTAGCAAGAAAACAAAAATATTTGGTTCTTTAAAAATCAGAAATGGAATTTTTATAACCAAACAGAATTAGTGTGTGTCAGGATTTTTTGTTTTGTTTTGTTTTATTTTATTTAAATTACTGTTCAGAGGCCTTTGTTTTTGTAAGTAGTTGCTCTGGTGGTTGGTTGATCTAGTTAAGAGATTCTCAAGCTATGGAGGAAGGGTGTCAGATCTCCCCTGCGAATCACTAACTCTAATGAGAGATGTGATTTCTTAACAATGTGTAAGCGGAAAACAGTAAGGAACAGGGACCAAAGCAAATCTAGAGGAGGGTTTGTTTAAGTTTTGTTGTTGTAGCATGCCCCTGTACAGTGGCCCCACCACTGCATGTTGTCTTACATGGGCCTTCATTTACTCTCATACATGTTAGCATTCTGGCTCCTGAAGACATAATGAATCTGCAACTCTGCCAGACCAGTTAATAATATACTAAGTACAGCTATGCTTCAGAAATGAACAAAGAATGAAAACCTGAAGTAGAAATTAATAAACTCAGCTATTTTGGGGGGAATAGCCTGGGCTAAATGGAATATAGTATAGAAGAAAGTGAAACATTTATAATTAGATTGCACTGAACTTTCCCTGAGTCAGTTTTGTCATCCAGTACTAAAATGTACTATTTTTCTTAAACAAATAATTGTCCATTTTGATGGTGCATATTACGTAGTGTGGGCAAAGTAACCCCTTTATTTTAACAGTAATCAATTTACTGTCTGAAAAACAATCTTGGACTGCCCACACTAGAACTCATTCGGTGCACTAAGGCCAGTGGGGGATTGGGAGGGGCACAAAATATCTACACTAATAAAAGAGAAAGATGCAAATTGATTGTACCTTTGTGCCGCCCATCAGCCAATCAGGAGTGGGTATGCAAATTAACCCAACAAAGATGGTGGGTTAATTTGCATATGCAGGTGCCAAGTGTCTGGGGGCGGGGTAGGACACAGGCATTCTGCCCTGCCCCAGCTGCTCCAGACCTCTGGGCAGCATGGGAAGGCAGAAAGGCGGCTCTGGGCTAGAGCTAAGATGGAAAGGCGGAAAGCCAGAGGAAGGAAGGCCCATTCTTGCATGAATCTTCGTGCATCAGGCTAAATAAATAAGAATAAAAATTTTAGCCCTAACCAGTTTGGCTCAGTGGATAGAGCGTCAACCTGTGGACTCAAGGTTCCCAGGTTCGATTCTGGTCAAGGGCATGTACCTTGGTTGCAGCCACATCCCCAGTAGGGAGTGTGCAGGAGGCAGCTGATCGATGTTTCTCTCTCATCGATGTTTCTAACTCTCTATCCCTCTCCCTTCCTCTCTGTAAAAAATCAATAAAATATATTAAAAGAGAGAATAAAAATTTTAAAACTGCCTTCAATCCAATTGTACTATAAGGATATACAATATAATAAAAATTTTGATATATTTTTACTTTTTAGGTTGAATTTCCTAGTTCAAATTTCTTATAAAATTTGAATGTTGAATTTGTCAGAGAAATTTCTGCACTTAAAAGTGAAATTATAAATCTTTTTTTTTTTAAATATATTTTATTGACTTTTCACAGAGAGGAAGGGAGAGAGATAGAGAGTTAGAAACATCGATGAGAGAGAAACATCGACCAGCTGCCTCCTGCACATCTCCCGCTGGGGATGTGCCCGCAACCCAGGCACATGCCCTTGACCGGAATCGAACCTGGGACCCTTCAGTCCGCAGGCCGACGCTCTGTCCACCGAGCCAAACCGGTTTCGGCTGAAATTATAAATCTTTCTTAACATTTCATCCTGTCATTTAAATAAGTGGCTCAAAAATGCTCTCTAAAAAATATTTAAAAGTTCTAGTCCACAATTTAAGGTTTTCCTTAAATACCTAGGTTTTACAATTTTAGTAAATAAATGTTTTCCCTTAAGCTTCTTATTAACATAAGCCTCTAGATGAATTAGGTTTAAAATAGAATTGGTTTAAAAGCATATTTTTAAAATATTGTAGGGGTTTTTGACTTTTAGTACCTATCATTAGTCCTCTGCATTCCATTAAAGACATGTTACTGCTAAGCTGCCATTTTTCCTAGTAAATGTTTCTGTTCTGTTCTGTCATCAGAGTTTTTCTGGTCTCACCTGTTGTCTTTTTTCTGTGCTTTCCTTTCACACACATGCTTCAATGTTTGTGGCTCTTGCTTACAGGAAGAAGAGGTGGCGGAGTCTGGGGTAAGTGTAGAGAAGAATGCAACTGGAATGAAGGTTGTGCAACTCTTAACATATACTCATCCTTCTCATTAATGCACGCACATAAAAGAGCATGCGTCCTATTAACCCTGTCAGCCTACATTCCTGACAAATGCCTTTTGCTAACTAGGTGAAAGCAGTGATAGAACTAGCTTTTATTTCCTTTACTTTTTTATTATTGACGTTCCAAAAGTCCCTTTCTTTTGTTAATGATGATGATGATGATGATGATGATGATAGAAAATACTTTTTGTGTGCTTACTATTTGCCATACATTGTTCTAAGCACATTATATGAATTATTTAATTATTCAGACCATGCTATGAGATGAATACTGTTATTCCCATGGTACGGACAGGGAAGTTAAAGTTGTCCAAATTCTTACAACTCACTAGAGGTGGATCCAAACCTAGGTAATCTGGTTCCAGAGTCCACACCATTTTCTTTTATTCAAATGTCATGTTTTATAAAAATAAATATGTAAGTATAAAAATGGATAAGAGATTTGGTTATAAAGGTTAAGTTTTGACATCAGTTTTCCAAAAAGAGACAGTCCTTATCCTAACTGTACTATAAAATTGAGTTAGTAAATAATTGAAATAGAGAATGACTTTAATTCCTCAGATCTTGTAATACCACGAAAGTTACAGCATTGATTGAATTTTATTTTAAATTTCTCCTACTTTTAAAGATTCCCTTATCTCTCTTAAAACTGTAATAGAATCAGAAACTGCCACCTTTTGTTCAAGTAAGTTCAGATCTCTGCCTATACGTAGCTAGATAACTATTTAGAATAGAATTTTTAGGATCTAATAAAACATCTTATGTAGCCCTTTTGTTTTTTGATGATGAAAGAGATGGTGGCCCTAACTGGTTTGGCTCAGTGGATAGAGCGTCAGCCTGTGGACTGAAGGGTCCCAGGTTCGATTACGGCCAAGGGCACATGCCTGGGTTGCGGGCTCGGTCCCCAGTAGGGAACATGCAGGAGGCAGCCAATCAATGATTCTCTCTCATCATTGATGTTTCTCTCTTTCCTTTCTCTTCCTCTCTGAAATCAATAAAGATATTTTTTTTTAAAGAAAAAGAAAGAGATAGTGTTTGTGGATGAGAGGATTGCATAAGAAGAATTTCACTAATTTAAGATTATAATGAATCATGAAGTTAGATGTTTTTATTACATGTTAGAAGAATTTTTACTTCTCACTTACTGAGTCCTGTCTTATTTGTGGTCTTGTTTTCTGTTGAAGTTTGGTAAACTTGAATTTTCTTCTGCCTTTTCCTCCCTTCTTTGTGTGTTGCTCATGTGTTTTCTTCTGTATTATACATTTATGCATTGGTCTTTTCTGGTTCTTCTCACTGATAATAGATATTGAATTCTGGCATTACTGTTATAAAGAGGAGGACTTGGTCAGTATATCATAGTGGGAATTTGGGGTGTTTGAATGCTTTATGCACCATATTCACCGATGATTCAGCTTTACTATATGATGCAAGCAGACACTAGGTATTTACACCTTTGCATCAGGGCATTTTCTGTTTTGGAAGTAGAAGACATTTTGTTGTCAATTTATCACAGTGTTTTCATTTATTAGAAATGTATGTATGTTTGATTTGTTGTGTGTGTGTGTGTGTCAGTGTCAACTAAGATAAAAGTATTAAATATTTGTATTAAAATGTGCTTCTAAATTATGGGGCTTGATTTAACTGCATTTCTTTGAATCTAAGACATTAATTGTTGGACACAATTATTTTAGGTACCATTAAACTTATACTTGATAAAAGAGCTCTTATATAAACTTAAGTATGTATTTTTATCACATAACAGTCTTTTATATTCATAAAAAGGAATATAAGCAAATTAAATTGGTTAAGTCTTTCTAAAACGTCTTCATATTAAGAATATACATCTTCTAAATTACTTTTAGAGTTATTAGTTTCTGGATTTTTCCCCCCCAAACAATATTGCCATCAAATGTGTTAGTAATGCAACATTTTTTTAAACAAGTCATAAAAGAGGTAAAAGCTGCTGCTCTTAAGCTGGCTTTGCAAATACAGCTAGTCTCCTTTTAATGCCTGCTTTGGGACTTGTCAGATTCACTACCTCCTTAAAATCATTTGGTTCCTGGGTTAACAGAGTAATTCACTAATGTCATTGGATTTTCCTCCAAACCATTCTGTAAGCTTTGAAGTTTTCTGCAAGTATAATCTGTCACAACTGTGTCACAGTTTCTGCCTAACCAATAGCAATTGAAAGTTGCCATCAAAATGTAAGACACACCCTATTTCAAAGATCTTAATATTCTGAAAGAAAAAATATATAATACATTTACAACTTTGTTTCACTTAATTTACAATGAAAACACTAGTATTTTAGTGTCTGTTTTAAACTTGTTATATGAATACTGAAGAACAAATTATTATATAGTTGTGGTCTATGTATTTGGAATGTTTTTGTGTAAATATTAGGCTAATTTAGAAAACTCATAGATACATACCTTTGTTATTTTGGAATAGCAACTGCCTTTAAAATCAAATTCATCATAAAACCTCACGTTGGCTTGCCTTGTTAGAAAGGACAAATAGCATTGTGTTTCGAGTTTTCCTCCGGTTTTAGATTTAGTCATTGTACAAGGGCGTTGGTCAAAACGACTAGAATTGGGTGAAACTAAAGCTAGTTTGAATTGTGGTTATTTCTCCTCAGCTTGCAGTTCCATCACATCAGACACCTACCCACCCCC